TCATTCTCCCCCTGTACTTGGCCTTAGTGAGGCCGCAGCTGGAGTACTGTGTCCAGTTTTGGGCTCCACAATTCAAAAAGGATGTGGAGAAGCTTGAGAGAGTCCAGAGAAGAGCCACGCGCATGATCAGAGGTCAGGGAAGCAGACCCTACGATGACAGGCTGAGAGCCCTGGGGCTCTTTAGCCTGGAAAAGCGCAGGCTCAGGGGTGATCTGATGGCCACCTACAAGTTTATCAGGGGTGACCACCAGCATCTGGGGGAACGTTTGTTCACCAGAGCGCCCCAAGGGATGACGAGGTCGAATGGTCACAAACTACTTCAAGATTGTTTCAGGCTGGATATAAGGAAGAATTTCTTTACTGTCCGAGCCCCCAAGGTCTGGAACAGCCTGCCACCGGAGGTGGTTCAAGCGCCTTCATTGAACACCTTCAAGATGAAACTGGATGCTTATTTTGCTGGGATCCTATGACCCCAGCTGACTTCCTGCCCTTTGGGCGGGGGGCTGGACTCGATGATCTTCCGAGGTCCCTTCCAGCCCTGATGTCTATGAAATCTATGAAATGTCTCTATCTCTTTTTTTGTTCGTATTGCTTAGACTTGTGCATATAGGAGAAAATATGCATTTTTGCTTCATATTATATAAATATTTTGATATTTTTCTGGTATGGGAGCATAATTTTTGGAAATGGGTATTTCCTATCTCACTCTTCAGATTAAAATTTACATAGATTTTTATGTAGACATCAAGGGTTTTTTTTTTTTTCTTCGTAAATTTCTGGTCATTTGTCAATCACATTTCTGTTCCTTAAGATTTTTTTTTTTTTAAATAGCTATGGATAACGTTATACAGATTTTTTGTCTAAATATTTGTTTACTTTTTCCAAACTGTTGTATATTAGGCACACAGACTCTCTACTCTAACAGTTGCATATTAACACAGCATTCCAGAGTAATAGTCTTCTTTAAACATGATCATAACTGGTAATGTACTAATTCTGCAGTAAATGTGGTATGGAAGAAAACTTTTTATTCAGTCGTAAGAGTCATTTTATAAACTTCCCTGCACTACTTTTACAACAACGTTTTTCCCCAAATATAATTTGTTAAATACAGTGTCTTTTGTTTTATTCAGGTGCAAAACATATGTGAGAGGGGACTTCAGGTGGGCCATTCCAAAATAACAATCCTTGGTAGTCCTTCCATGGGTAACTATTTTTGCTATTTTTAACTTGCTGTGTATAGTATGTTGTGCAAGGATGAATCTACAGTGCAGATAATATGGTACATATGTAAAATACCTGCCCCAGCTGTTGACTTTCCCTCAAGTTAACATTCATACTTTTGAAACCGTTTTAACCAGCTGGCTTCAGTCAACTGACTTGCATAAAGTCTCACCTCAACTGAAGAACATTAGGTTAATATCGTATGCTCCCATTGAAATGTTGGCCAAAAGAAGTAATCCAATCTGCCTGTATAAAATGGGGAAATGACTAGCAGGAGTAGGAGGGTTACAACACCTATCTGACATTGTACAGCCACTGCTGGAAATGCTGCCTTCAGTTCTAGTGTCCACAGTTTAAGTATATTGATAAATTGCAAAGAATAGCTTCAAGAATGGTTGAAGATTATGGAATGTGTGTTTATATGTAATGTAAGACGCCTAAAATAGCTCAGTCAATTTAGCATAGAAGTTGGACGGATAAGAACTAATTCAGTCAGTTTATAAATACCTCTATGGAAAACAGAAACCAGAAAAAAACAGCTGCTTTAGTTTAGCAGACATTTGTAGCAAGATCCAAAAGCTGAAAATTGAAATATACCATATTGGGGGTGGTTTAACTATTGAAATAGTTTATAATAAGAATTGTGGTAAGTAGTCCATCATTGCAGATTTTTAGATCAAGATTGTGGGTTTTGTGAAGATATTCACAGATATTGGATTTAATACTGCTGAAGGCACTACTGTTTCTTTCTTTCTTTCTTTCTTATAGAACATTTTGCCTTTGGCTATGCCGTGTCACTATAAGAATGCTATATGTTCACTGTATTAGTACTTATTGTCTTCTGAAAATGGTTAAAACTGGCATGCTTATTAAATTCCTTAAATACGACATTTTTATGTTCAGAAACTTCAATCCCTTACTCTTATATTCCTCCCCTATCAGGTGTGTATCTCTCTAGGTATGCAGATCTATTACAAGCAAATCCCCTAGAACCTGGAGTAACTGGTGATGTGATTATTTTTAAAATAATAAAGGTAAGTTTTACTCAATTTCTTATCATTTGGAGAATGCATTTCCTGCACTTTCTGTTCTACTGCATATATTTAAAGATAATCTGAAAGGTAGGAGGAGTTATGTAGGAGTTTTATTCAAACATATGTGCAGGTAGGCTTTGATTTAAAGTCCATCTCTCTTGGATAGATGAAGAACTTAAGGGGAACAATTAAAAAGATGTTTTTTGTTTTCTTCAGAAAGCTGAAGAGTAGTATGTGCTAATAAAAAATGGCTACTTGTACTTTGTTTTGCTAACCTTGCATCCTCTTGTTAAGCTTGCTCTAGTTACTCTAATGAAAGGCATGGGGAAGCCAAATTGTTAACTTTTTTTTTTTCTTCCTTACAGGGAAAAATGAAGAGCATATATGATCATATGGGTGTGAAACCGATGGAATCAGCAGTTAAAAGTGCATTAGATCCAACACCAAAGCACGAATGTCACGTTTCAAAGAATGTGAATAAAGTAACATCCTTGTTGGCGTATAGAGCATATGAGCTTACTCAGGTAGGCAAATAGCTTAATTTTATATATTGTACGCTATTATGCATTAAAGATGAATACTAGTAAGATTCATAGATGCTGGGGTTGGAAGGGACCTCAACAGATTGAGTCTGACCCCCTGCCCTGGGCAGGAAAGAGTGCTGGGGTCAGATGACCCCAGCCAGATGCCTATCCAGCCTTCTCTTAAAGACCCCCAAGGCAGGGGAGAGCACTACCTTCCTTGGAAGCCCATTCCAAATTCTGGCCACCCTTACTGTGAAGAAGTTCTTCCTGATGTCCAGCCTAAATCTTTTCTCTGTCAGTTTGTGACCATTGTTCCTTGTTACGCCAAGAGGCACCCTGGTGAACAGAGCATCTCCGGTTCCTTGCTGCACCCCCACTAACGAATTTGTAGGCAGCCACAAGATCCCCTCTCAGCCTTCTCTTGCAGAGGCTGAAGAGATCCAGGTCCCTTAGTCTTTCGTCATAGGGCTTAGCCTGAAAACCCTTAACCATACAAGTGGCACTCCTCTGGACCCTCTCGAGGTTATCCACATCCTTCTTAAACGTTTACATTAATAATACTTTAAGAAGGGAAGTTTTAAATGTTAACTCTTAATCTTAAATTACCCACTCATTTACCTTATTTACTCAGATCCAAGGCAAGGTTTTTTTCCCCCCTTTCATTCAGTATGGGAGGAGCGAGGGGGAAAGCCTCTTCTTGGATTTGAGTCTGCCAGTAACACACACTTTAAGTGAGGAAGCTGATTTCTGCACCAGAATAGAGGTGTGGAAATACTGTAATGGCTGCTAGGGGCTGTGCTTCCCTCCTAGGTGCTGAGACCTGGACTATCCAGCTTGCATCTCTCAGCCTGTCTTTACAAGCTCTGCAGCTCAAACTTTAACCAGATTTTGGCTGAGCAGCACAACTTATATTAGTTTGGTAGCAGTTGTGACGGTTAAAGATTGAGCTGTGGAGTATGCAAGGAGGGTCCAGGATGATACTGTCCCCTCTCTAGGTGGACTGGGTTCAGCAATGATTGCAAAAATCAATCATTTTGGGAAGGCAAAATGGAGGGGAAAAAAGGTGTGGTCTTATTTTCTTGCATACCACTCACCCCAAAATAAGGTACATCTCCATGGCAATGTTCAACTGTCTTAATCGTGAGTCCGTTTTTTCTCTCCCTATAAGATGCCTCCTTTTCACTATAACTTCTAGTTTTCAAAACATATGAAGTGAAGAGTCCTATTAGACAGATCTCATTCTATGCAAGCCTCATTCTACACAATGTTCACGTTTTGATATAGTCATGATCATATAGAGTGGTTGAATTAAGGATGCACAGGCAACCATACTTCTAGCAATTCCTAATATCTACATACTTTACTCTGCAACGTTAATGTTGTTTTAAACGCAAGTTTTGTGCGTATATACACAAAATGTATAATTTAGATAGGAAAAGGAAGGTTTGACATTTTTTAAGTGTAAACAAGTTAACAGGCTGCTCAAGCAACTTTTTAGATGTAAAATTAACCTATACGTTCTTTTAACATCTGATCTGTTACGATGTTAATGTTTCAACATATTTTTAATACTTGAATGGTTAAACACAGTGTCAAAAAAACCCGCAACCTGCAGTTGTAAGATGTGCCAGGAGCAGAGGGCAGTGGAGCTTTGAGGGCCTGATTTTTGTTGTGGCAACACAGCCCTAGCCCCTTCCCCACTGTCTGCCCCAAGGAATGCATGCACTCCATGGCTGGCAGCAGGGGCCTGCCAAGAGCCTGGGCTGGTTGTGGTGTGCTGAGCAAAGCATGCTCTGGCATGAGTGCCAGAAGTTGCCAACCCCTGAGCTGAGCATTTATTTTTGGATTGTTTAATTGTATTCATTAGTTATGAGGATACATGAGTTTTGAGGTACAACTACAAAACAAATTGTACTTATTCGGAAAACAATTGATGTTACTGGTTGTTAGTCAACCTGAAAAATATAAATAGAGCAGATTTATATTTTAATTTGTTGTTTGTTTTTGTTTTTTTAGTATTATTTTTATGAGTATGGCTTTGATGAAATAAGGCGCAGACCAAGACATGTATGTCCATATGCTGTTGTTTCATTTGCATACAAGGATGAAATGATACAAGCACCAAAGTTTATGCCTCCATCAAGGTAAGTTAGGATGTATGCAGACTTACAAAAATAGCAAGAATCTTGTAATTGATTAACAAGTGTTAGCATTACTCTGTCAGGGGTATCAAATATATGGAGCCCCACCATCTGGCCCCTGGTGGTGCCCCTGGATCTGATCAGACCCACATGGGGCATGTGTGATTGTGGTGTGATGCCCGTCCATAGGCCAGATGATAGAATAATAGAAAATGTAGGGTTGGAAGGCACCTCAGGAGGTCATCTAACAGGAGGTCTCAAAGCAGGACTATTCCTAACTAGATCATAACAGCCAAGGCTTTGTCTAGCTGGGTCTTAAAACCTCCAAGGATGCATATTCCACAGCCTCTCTGGGTAAACCTGTTCCAGTGCCTTATTACCCTCCTAGTGAGAGTTTTTTCCTCACATCTAACTTAAATGTTCCTTGCTGCAACTTGGTATGATTGTTCCATGTTCTGCCACCACTGAGACGATCTAGCTCCATTCTCTTTGTAACCACCCTTCAGGTAGCTGAAGACTTTTATTAAATTCCCACTCGGTCTTCTCTTCTCCAGACTAAATACACCCAGTTCTCTCATCCTTACCTCAGAAGTGATGTGTCCCAGCCCCCTAACCATTTTCGTTGCCCTCTGCTGGACTCTCCAATTTGTCCACATCCTTCCTATAGTGGGGAGTCCAAAACTGGACAGAGGACTCCAGATGCAGTCTCACCAGTGCCAAATAAAGGAATAATCATTTCCCTTGATCTGCTGGCAGTGCTCTTACTAATGCAGCCCAGTACGCTGTTAATCTTCTTTGCAGCAAGGGCACACTGTTGGCTCATATTTAGCTTATTGTCCACTGTGACCCCCAGGTCCCTTTTTGTAGAGCTGCTGCTTAGCCAGTCAGTCCCCCAGGCTGTATTGGTGTAGCTGTAGCCCATGGACCTCTCCCTTAGCAAACCGGGTCTTGTGGCTGCTCCAGCTAGTCTGGGACTCCTGATGCATGCAACATGAATTCTGGAGTGGCTGGAACAAGTGCCACACGGCATAATCTCACTGGGTGGCAGCTGTGCTGTACACAGTGCTGTGTTGGACTGTGCCACATATGATGCCTGCTCTAGGATGCACACCACATACAGCATCAGCTCCAGCCAGTGTATGATCTTTGCCATGTGTGGTGGTCACAGGTGCCACATGCAATGCAAGTCCCAGACGGGCTGGAGTTGTCGTAGTCCCAGAGCTCCCAGGGCAGGTACCACATGCAGTGCCATCTGGTTAGTGATCGCTGCATGCAGTATGGCTAGAGATGTAAAATTTCAAGAAGTTTTGAAGCCATGGGAAAAAAAAAATGGGAATTTTGGGAAAAATTGAAATATCTGCAATGCTTATTTTCTTAGCACCCTTTACACATCTAAATTCACTTTGCTACTTATAATACATTTTATGTTCTTAGTATAACTTGATTTGCTCATAAAATTATCATGTTTGGTATAATTGTTAAATGTATAGTTTATTCAGACAATAATTACAAATGTACTAATTGAATTTACTTTAAAATGTTTTTAGTTTTTGTTACAAATGGAGCTACAAGCTGCTGAACTGTAAGGAACCTAGCATCTCTTAGTTTTTGCCAGTTTATGAGAAGCAGGCAAATTTAAAGTTGAAAATAGAAGAAACCATCAACAGTATAGTAAAACAAAGCAAGTTATTATGTATTCTGGACTTAGCCTCCTCCATAGTGTCAAGCAGATGCAGAAAGCACTCATTTTTTAGAAAAAGAGTTGAGAAAAAAAACCAAGACTTATTGAATATAAATTTTGCTACATGAAATTTGTCTAATCAATCTCATTTTCTGAGCTATCACTATCAGCAGTTTCTGGTGCTTCTGCTTCTTCTGATCCTTATTTTATCATCTTCATGGACTTCTGAAAACTGAAAGTTTGCCCAAATTGAGACAAAGTTCTCTAATCTTTCACATGTTAGTTTATTTCTTGATTGGTGAGTATTTGCAAACATAGACCAGTTTCTTTCACATGCTGCGGAAGATGGAGCAATCTGAAGCAAGAGGAGTCATAGGCTGTGTTGTGCAAAGGCCTTGCCACCATGTTCCAAGGAGGGATATGCTTGGTGGAGTCCCAAACTGCGTTCCTGGACCAAATATCTGAAGATGTTCTGTATTCTGCAACATTTGAAAGTACCTTTCCAACATTAAGTCTTAAGTGTGTTGCTTGCTTCGTAATCCAGTCAAATGCAATAGCAGTACTATCATCACTAACATTTTTGCCACTGAATCTTGGATCCAAGAGACTTGCAGCAGCATGAATTGATAGGCAACAAAATTCTTCCAGTCTGTTAATGAAGTCTTTCACTTTATTTCTGTACTTTTGACTTTTCTTTCTTCTGTACACTTAAAATCAATTGTTTTTGAGAATCTATCTGGGCCATTTGGTAAGGAATGTCTGACAAGTGCACTGTCTGATTTAGATGCAGTGATTGCTGAAGAAATTGGGTTTAGAACGGGTGGGCAATTATTTTGGGCAGAGGGCTGCTTACTGAGTTTTGCCAAGCCATCGAGGGCTGCATGATGGGCAGCCAGGGGCAAATAAATATTAATTTTCTAAATTTTTTTAGGGGCCCCATGGGCTAGATAGAATGGTCTGGTGGGCCGCATGTGGCCCATGGGCTGCATTTTGCCTACCCCTGCTTTAGAATCTTCAGGAAGTTCTGCAGCTGAACCCAGAAGACATCCTCATCAAGTACAGTGTTCTTTACACTTTTGGGCACTTTAAGATCCTCAGTTATTACTGTTTTTGAAGGGCTTCTTTGTTTTTTAGTAAACTTTCAAATGAGATCACCACTCTACCCCATCTAGTTTTACTACAGAGTTTGTGTCACTGTTTCATTCTTTGCATTCTTTTATTCCTGCTTCTTAAAGACTACAGCTACAATATGAGTAGCTTTGACATGTTTTATAACTTCTTTTGCTCTTCTGTAGATCTTTTGCAGAGTGTCCAACTTCATGATGTCATTAAGAAGCAAGTTTAGCCCATGGGATTCACATCCTATCGCAGTAATATGTGGATATTTAGCCATTATGATCTCCCATGCTGCTTTCACATTACTTGCATTGTCAGTCAGCAAAGCAAATGCTTTATTGCTCTCAATCTTCTTTAGGACTTCACATATTTTACTACTGATATACTCTGCACTATGCCTGTTCTCTCCTACAGTACAGTAGTACTCCTACTACAGAAAGTAGTTCCCCACTGGGTTAGAATGGCTGTCATGTGTCTGCCCCTGAAATAGTTGGGACAAGTAGTCTGTTTAGACTAGTCTAAATAACAGTTTGTTTTTATTGTGTTGAAGAGAGAGAATGGTCTCAATTCATTTGGTACAATACCTTAGAGAGACTGCAATTATAATAGTATAAAATATGCTTATATAGCTTGTTTGTATAAGTTACAGACATGGAGGTACTGAGAGTGACATCCATATTAGGGAGGATTAGATCTTTTTAAGACTATGTAGGTAAATCAGTCCAAATATTAGGCCATTGCACTTTCTCCTTCTGTTCCTTAAATGTATGTGCTGCTAATAATGTTCACCTGGTTGTTTGTATTGCTCTCCTGCTAGCCTGACCATAATAAATCATAACTAAATATGATCTGTTTTTTCCCCCCATTGAGAGAAACTTCTTTTTAATTTTGTTTTGTTTGTTTTATTTTGTTAGATCAAACAGTTTTAATGCAGACAGAAATGCAGGTAAGCATCAGTTATACTCTAAAACTCCTTTTGTAATAAATATGTGGGTACTCTATCCATTTGCCCCATTCTCTTCGCCAGCACTTTAACTGGTTATGCATTTTGGGTTCCTGTTTGTTTATACAATAAAAAATAGACTGACCCATAATAGTATAATTCATTACCAAGACGAAAAATAAATCCTACCATTCTGATACCATTGGGGTATAACCAGTTAAAGCAGATTTGGATACAGTCTAAATCCATGTGATTAGTGATTCCTATTTCATTTTGTATTTGAGGATTATAATAAAGGAAAGCATGCTATATTTCAGACCTTTTGTATGGTTAGAAGTGCAAGAAAAACGAAGACATTTCTTAACACAAGATTACTATGGACGAAGGGGTGGAATCTGAAGCAGCTATCCTGCTGTCTTGTTTGACAGTTGACCTGAAAAGTTCATTTCTGCTATTCCAGATGTCAGATCTGGCCCATGGAGCCACATCATCTGGCTCCTTATGTTGTCCCTGAGTTTCCAAGTGATCCACACAGTGCATGCTGGACGGGCCCTGCATACAGGGCCCAGGACATGCAGCCCTCAGCACCCACACAGGACAGTCTGGGATCCCCATATGCCAGATCCAGAACCCACAGTATGTGCTCTGGCCTGCAGCATGGGTCCCAGAGTGAGTATCATGTGCAGCTGAGTCCTAGACTGGCCAGAGCAGGCACTGGATTCAGCATGGGAGGGGAATGGGGTGGTGCAGGGGGGAGAACTCCATGGGTCCCTCACATGCTGGATCCAGTATTCACTCTTGTCAGTCTTGGACTGTGGTGCATGTGGTATCCTTTCCAGCAAGTGAGGGAACTCTACTGCACACAGTGTCTGCCCTGCATCAGCTGGAGTGTGTGACTTGTGCCCTGATCTGGCCAGAGCAGGTATCACGTTGTGCAGTCCCAAGGGTGGGGATGGTCTATGTGCCGAATCTAGCTCATAGGGCTGGCCATGCACCATTCATCTGGCCTGTGGATTGGTCCTGTGACTCTCACCTGTCCCATGGAATAAGATGATTTTGACACCCCGTGCTATGCTAACAAACATGGCTTGCTGTATTTCCTGATTTTCCAGCTCTAAGGCTAGGTACAGACATTCAAAAATGCCAGAATAGAATCAATCATTAAGTTGCAGTGTTTTCTGTAAGCGACATAGTTTAGATCAGTAGGGAACAGAACACACATTTGACCTTTGATAGGGCAGACAAATCTTAGATTTGTTCTGCAGTTTTTAGACCAGACTTTGTGCCAAACTTCTGTTTTGTTGTGGGTATAGACTGGGTTCCAATCACTTACACCAGTGAAAATATAATGTCTGTACCTGGCCTTTTAATTGTTTTCCTCTGTTACTTGACCACAGAGTTGGTTTTGGTATCCAAAAAGTATATGTAAATAGCTCTTTGAGAACTACAGTATTCTAATACTGCAGTGAACATTTGAGTGACACTCTAAGATAGGTCACATAGCACCTTACTTATCAAAGGATTCTGGTTCTCTTATATTCAAGAGAAAGTTTTGAAATGTGAACTGATGCGACGATGTCTTCCTGAGTTCAGAGAACTTGAAAACGTCTCTTGAGATAAAAGTTCAGCCATGCATTACTCTAGGGATGGACACACACACACATTTGGAACTGTTTTAAAAGGGCAGTGGTTGTTGCATTCTACCACATTCTAATTGTTATTGGTGGACAAGCTGAGGATGACTGAAGTGTAGCGAAACTGCCCTGACTTTAACCCTGGATGAAGCAGTTTTGGTACATTAGTCATCCTCACCTTGTTATGTTCCAGTTGTTATTGGTGGACAACTGCTGCCCTTTTGAAACAGCTCCAAATGTCCATCCCCAGAACAAGTAATGGCTAAATTTCCTCTGCCTAAACAGTGGTGACTTTTTTTTTTTCCTCTGCTCCTTCTGTACAGGGGGCTTGTTACTTCACTGTTTGCATTTTTTTTGCTTTTGTCTTTTTAATCTTTATGCTAATGTGCATGCAGTTTTTGGCGTAGTTGTACAAATAATAGCAATACTGGAAACCAGTGATCTAAACTGGACACAACCAACTTCCGCTGTTGCTTTATCTTTCTTTGCCTTACCTGGATGATCTGGCAGACAGGGCACCAGCAATATTTACTACCCTTGTAGTGACAGCAGAAGGACACTTCCCAGAACTATTGATGGTCATTCTGTCTCCTTCCTTTTGAATCTCTCTTATCTGACTAGCTTCCAATTATTCAGTCACTTTTTATTTTGCCTTGCTTTTTAGATAAGACTAATTACACCTTATGGAGAGGACAACTTTTGAATAAAGGGAAGCTTTTATGTCATGCCGCTTTGAAGTCAGCAACACGTCCTTTCCTTCCATGCAAGCTGTAAGTATTTCATTTACAAAAGTAGCATTGAAAAAATGTTGGCATTCAGAATTTTCTTTAGCGGAATATTTGCCAGAATATATTTTGATCAATCGTTAATATAGTGGGCAAAACTTTAAAGTGTCTGTATGACTCAGGAACCAACTTAAGTTCCAAAATCATTAAAGCATCTCTGAAAATGTGCAGTTAACATAAACATCTGTTTTAAACACACTCTCTTTAAAAATAAATAAATAAAAAAATTGTGTGTGCATGTGTGTGCGCGTGTATATATGTATGCATATAATATGATAAGCAAAGTTTGTTTGTTTTTTTCCCCATAATCCCTCTAGGAATTTTTTTTTAATAAGTGTGCTTAAAAGCCTTCAATTTTGTAACAATTAGATTGGGCTGTGAGGTAGAAAAAGAACATTACTTTCCTTCTTTTTTTCCAGTCCAGAGAAGCTTAATGTTGAAACTGTAATGAACATTGATCAGCTGAAGAAAAAAGTTGCACCAGCATTGTTCTACAAGGAAACTTACCTAGGGACAAAGGAAGGTTAGCTTGAAGTGTAGTGTGTGTGTTTGGCTATTTAAATCAAAAAGGCATAAATCTGGTTTACAGTTTATTTTCTTTTTCTTGTGCCAGTGTTTAAAAGTGGAATGTACTGCAGCCTTTATGAAGTTGTGGAAAAATCAAGGTCTGGAAGTAACTTGGAAGGCTTACTTCAAAAACTAGAAAAAGAAAAATTAGTGAGTAGAAAATACTGACTTTCCTTTTTCAATTTTTTTTATACTTGGCTAATGTTGAGTACTGAGAGAATCTTCAGATTTATTGTTGCCGGCCATATATGCAAATATCAGAGGACTGTTTCAGTGTCTGTGATGCATTGTTGCTTCTTATCTATTAAGAGCACAGTTTTGCAATTTTAATCTCTCAATTTTTACTGCTTATTTCCAACTGTAATACCCTTGTTGTTTGAAAATACAGGTTCTTGTTAAGCCTCTTGGGGACAGAGGATATCTTTTCCTTCTTTCTCCTTGGCAAATGACATCCCCATATGGTAGGTGATTTTTAAAAATACTAGGCTTTGGGCTTCAGAAATTTTATGGGCTTCTGTCTTTATTGCATTGCCTAATTCTGTTTCTTTTCTTGCTAGAGCACCAAACTGCAAGGTCCCGTATTCTACATGCATTGTTTCTGTTTCAGGAACCTAGAGGTGTAGTGAGTTCAAGTAAGTTCATTTGTTTTTAGTACCTTCTCTGATTTAGACATGGTCTCAGTGTAGCAAGGTGTTAATTTCCTATTACCTTTGTTTAGGTCAGGATTACTGTAACTCGTCATGAATAGGAAAGAACACTGCTTGACATGGATATTTGAATGATAGGGCACTTATAAAATAATTTATTTTTACTGTTTGTTACAACTTCTCTTTTTAATTTAGGAACTTATCTGAGGAATATAGCATACTAAACCAAGAATTACTAATCACATATTGAAAGGCTTTTCTAATGAAGAGATTGATTGAAGATATGCTGAGAGTATTTTCAGGATTAAAAAGATGGGGTGGAAACTAAATTGTACATACACCAGATGCTTTGAATGCACTTGTGCTTACTTAATTCTTTGAGCCTTTCTGGAACTTGCCTTGTAAACTAAAACTTCAGTCAAACACAAAATCAGCTTCTGAGATGACTTTTTTAGATTAAAGCTAATTGGTTAGGGCTTTATCTTGACAACCTCAGTTGTCAAAATGAGGAATGCAGAATAAATAGAATGGAGACAAGAGTAACATATAAAAGTTACAGAAGAGTGTAACTTCTGTGGCAAGTATTATAAAGGAGTTGTAAATTAAACGTAGCAGACTGTCATCTGATGTCTTTCAAAAGTGAAAATTAGGGGTGTAGGACAGAAGAGTGATAGAGTCCTGGCTTGGATAATGTCTCCAAAGTCATAATTGTTATGCATAGTTTCAGTTTCTTCAGTACAAGAAACACTTACTAGTTAATAGCTGTAAATCATTTACATATTGTTCATACGTAACTTTTGTTTTAATTGTGGATTCTCTCTTTCCTTCACAGCCCCCAAAAATGTTCCATTTGCAGCACAGAAAAGTTCAGCTACAACAGTGTTGCAGGAGAATCATGAGATTTTGCCAGAACTCACAAGGTTTATTCAGTCACTACATTTTGCTCTCATTCAGTCTCGTAAAGATACAACTGCAAGTTTCAACACTGTTGTGGAAAAGTATATAAATGAATATTTGAAGCGATACTACAGTGGCTCTGGCAAATATAGGGAATTTGTATTGTACCCATATGAGTCACGGTTGGATGACAGAAAGTTTCTCTATTCTGGCCCAAAAAACAAATCTCATATTGATAGCTCATTGAGAAACTACATTTTTTGTTCAGAGGCCTATCAACTGCCTGTTTCTAAAGCAAAAGAACTGATGGAAGGAAATCAGAAAGTTCAGCAGTTCAGTCCTGTTTCAGATTATGAAGCCCCAGAAGATGACCCTGACTTAAACACAAAAACTGGTAAAAAAAGTGGTTCCAAGAGTGAACCAGTTTTAGTCAAACGAAAGCCTCCTCATCCTGGGGACTACGATCCTGATAGACTCAAAGAATTGATTAACTTAATTCAGTGTAGGAAAAAAAATGTTGGTGGAGAATCTGATACAGAAGATGTTAGAAACAAAAGTGGACTGAAACGAAGACTAGAAAGTCATTCTGAAACTTTGCGGAAACACTTAAAAATGAGTGAATCTGCAGAAAATAGTTGCCAGTATGAAGGTAAGTACTGTAATTTCAGTAAAATTCAGTTTTATCTTGTTAATTTAACTTTTTTTGTGGTTAAGAGTATTGGAATGACTTCATTTTTTGCTTAGTACCAGTTTGCTGCTTCACTCGAGTATTAATGTGAAAGATTCATAAATGGGAATGTTTCTTTGGCATGTTCTGACTCTTCCTGCATTGCTGAGAACCAGGGATCCTGGTTTTCTTTGTTAAAAAAAATCCAAATGAGGGCATGAGGGTGCTGCTGGAGGCAAACAGTGTGAGCCAGTTTTGGTTGAGTTAGTACTGTCTTACAGTAGAGTACTTATCTTATGGCAGAGTTAATTAATTTACAGCGCCCTAATACTGACACACCTGTAGATGGTGATTGTTTACTGCAGAACTAATTAGTCTACTCAGTAAAGCCCACATTTAGATGTGCACCCAATGTGATTTAAAACTTTGACAGCAACTGAATGTTGTATTCAACTGAATGAATATTTTATAAGAATCAACTTAGAAATGCTATAGATGCAAATAATTACCAGACTCATGGAATGTGCATACACTTGAGGTTCTCAACATTTTTAAACCTCAGGCACCCCTCCATAACTGTTGTGAATTGAGCAGCACCCGTCTCAAACCAATTTATTACAATGCTTGCACTCCCTACGTGTCTCCAATGCCCCCAGCTGAACTTTTCTGTGCTGCAAATGAACTTTTCTATGCTGCAGCTTGGGGCTTTGGCAACACGTAGGGAGTGCACGCAGGTGCACATGCACCCCCTGAGCTTGGCGGTGCACCCCCTGCAAAAAGGTACTACTGAAACTGCTGGCAGTGCTTGTGGGTGGTTGCCATTTGCCACTCCCCCCACCCTACCCCTGCTGCTGACATTGCCGGCGGGGTCTGTGGGCAGTCCCCAATTGCTGCTGGCCACTGCCGGCGGTGTCTGTGGGTGGTTGCTGACTGCCAGTCGGTGCTTGCTGCCACTGCCTGTGGGAGCTCATCATTGCTGCCACTGCCGCAGTTGCCTGTGGGAGCTCATCAGTTGCTGCTGACAGGAGCCAGTGAGTATGGGGGTTGTTTTAATAAGCAGGGATGCTGGAGCTGGGCGGGGCAGCCATTGACAGGGCTTGGAGACTGGGCAGGGAATGGGGCCTGTCTGATTCAGTGGCGGCCCAATCTCTGAAGCAGATTCTGCCAAATTGATTCGGGACGGTGATTTGAATCACTGTTCGCCAAATTCTCCGAATTGGCTGAATACTAGCACAGGCCTACTGTATAGCTCTCGTACTTCAGTGAGGCTTTTTGACTCTTTTATGTGAAGGTGCTGGATCCTTGCAATCCAGTTCATGTTTTTTTGGGTGCAGTGAAGGAGGGGGGTGCAGTGAAGGATCCTGTCTTAAAATTGTGATCGATGTAAAATATTATGGTAAAGATAAAATAATCTGCCTTCGAACTTGAGTTTGAGATTATTTTAGGGGAATCTTTTGACTAAATCCTGCTGTTCTGGTGCCTTCTGAAAAACTCTCTTTAGGTTGCATTTTTCATGCTTTGTTTAGGCCCATGATTTTCTTGTTTTGTAAGATTTATTTTAAATAAAGTTAAAATTTTAGTTTTTCTACATGTTAGTTTTGTAGCTGTAAACACTGAAGAAAAGTGATCTATAATAGTTCAATGTCTCTAGTTTACCTATACCTGCACTAATTTATGAACTGAAGAAAGCATTTGCAAATGGAGCCTGAGTAGACTAGATAAAGGCATTTCAAATATTTCAGTAGTTCTCACATTTATGGTTTACAGCTTTTAAAGAAGAGTAAACTAATAACTGGTTTTACAGTGCAGGCCTGTGCAGGGAATTAATTAATCAGCACGACTGTTTGGTGTGTTCTCCTTCCCTCCCATCCCTCTTTCTTTTCTTTGGTTTATAGAACTGTATTTCTATATGAAATAATCAAACGGTTGTCACAGATTGTTAGCCTAGCCCAGGCACAATCTACTTGTCTGTTTTTAAAGCAATAATAATAGGTTGGAGGAAACAAACATTGTGCTTGAACTATTCTTTACCTGCCAGTAAATGAATGCTTATACTAACAAGATTGCTATAAAACATAAATTATGTAGTGCAGCCAATTTTAACATCAGAAAATAAAGATGTTAATAGTTTTAAAACACCCATGATGCTATTACTGCATTTGCAAATATTTGTTTGCTTATTTTTGGTGTCAGCAAATACAAAATAGCATTGTGCCTCTGAAATACTGTTTATAAGGTCTGCGGGAAGTCCTTTAGCTCTCAGGAACTGCTACCTACCCCATCATTGTAACTTATAAGGAACTCATGTTGGTTAAAAATTTCTGCATGTAAACTGGGAATGGACCTGGCCGACTGGGGAAGTGTAGCTTTCTCTTCCTTTTAGGGTTTGATTTATGAATGACCTTTTTACTTTTCTTTTTTTTTTTTTTTTTTTTTCCTACCATTTTCCCTCCTTCCTAAAGGGGGGAAAACCTCAGAATCGCCACAGTCAGTTTCCTCAATAATTACTGGCCTTGGTGGACATGATACTGATTTGAGACAGCAAGATTTAGCGGACCCTGCTGTAACTGACACACATGGCCTAATTAAACTACTTTTAGAAACACTAGCTAGTGCAGGACACTTGGATTCATCGTTGGCACGGTCTCCCACCTTCCTAAAGGGGGGAAAACCTCAGAATCGCCACAGTCAGTTTCCTCAATAATTACTGGCCTTGGTGGACATGATACTGATTTGAGACAGCAAGATTTAGCGGACCCTGCTGTAACTGACACACATGGCCTAATTAAACTACTTTTAGAAACACTAGCTAGTGCAGGACACTTGGATTCATCGTTGGCACGGTCTGTAAATCAAGCTCTAGGACTGAACACTGATGAAGCAGAAGAGGATTTAAGGCAAAAACACGAATATGAATCGGTTCTAGCACATGATAAAGAAGAACACGAGCTTCCTACTAGTGGACAAGCTGAAAATGTAAACTTCAAGGACCCACAGAGCCCAGGAATGTTAGAAACTGATGCAACGTGTTTATCTTATCCTATTGATGTTGACCTAAGGCTTTCTACTAACGAAGTAGCCAGCGAACACACGCTACGTTTAAAAGTAAGTGAAACTTTCAGTATTAATAGGTACCAATTGTGGGTGTAGTACCTATTCATTATAGGAACTAATGATTATAGTCTCGTCAGGATGTCAAAGCCTTCAATACATAAATCATTAGTTTTTTTCATACCTTAGAGCTGTTCTATTTGCTATGAACAACACCAAAAAGTCAGGATTCTATATACTAGTTTGTCTTTTTAAGACGTGTGTTCCTGGTTATTTAGACCTGCCATTTCTTTGGGAAATTAACTGGGACAACCTCAGAGATGAGAAATAAAAGTCTCTCTGGGCCAAGCTTCTCAACGAGCTGTCTTCCTGCTGGGACTTCCAACGTTTTGCAACACTTCGCTCATAACCTAGTTGCCAAGTAGCTGATATGTTTAGGGTCCTTTTTAACTCCTGTTAGTAAATGACCATCACAAAAAACAAATTTTTTCTAGCTCTTGAATAAATCAAACACTTTATTCAGTCTTTTTCAGTTAGTTTCTGTGTGGAGTCTACAGAAGGGCTGGGCAAAATACAGCCTGTGGACTGGATCTGGCCTACCAAGCGATTTCTATTCAGTCTGTGGCAGGTCCCTTGGTCCTGCCTGGCCCAGACACAGGGGGGTGGGGCTGCCCTGGCAGTGGTACATGCAGTTAGTTCTGCCATCAGGTGTTGCAGGGCAGGGGCAGTGCAGCAGCCAGACTCTGCTTCCTGGCAGCCCCTGCAGTGGTGGCTCCTTCCAGCTGCCACCATGGCCCGTGCAGGGGTGGCTCCTTTGGCTGCTGCCACTAGTGTCTCCACACTGCTGGACCTGGCCCCACCTGCTTGGGCACCCCTGCCCGTCCACCCTACACCCACCATCAGGACGCTGGATGGAGCAGACAGGCAGGGTCTCCATGGAGACTGGCCTGAGACCCTTTCAGACAGGGCAAGCTTGGCTGGGCAGATGGGATGGGGCCACAGGCATCTGGGAGTGGGACAGGGCCAGGATTGCATGGTGGTGACAGTGTGGAGCCAGGGCTCAGGGCAGAGCTGTGATCCACTCCCCACGTCCCTGTTCACAGAACCAGTACCTGGGATGTGCGGGGAGCAGATTGTGGCTTTTACCCTGGGTCCTGGGCCCATGCTGTCACGGCCCTGTAATCCTGCTCCTCCTTCCCCTGATGCTAGATTGGGTTGGCACCTCTCCCCACTCTGGCCCACAACAGCTCACCAAAATTGTTAAAGTGGCCTGCCAGCCAAAATAATTGCCTGCCCCGGTCTGCAGGGTTTTTTTGATATGGGCGCAGTCACGGTAAGGTAAATATAATGGGCTTAGTGTGTCCCTTTTTCTGCCTGGACTATTTCCTAGAGGTGGAGAAATCCACAGAGGTCAAATGTTCATAGTCCTCCTGGGGAGTTAACTGGATCCTGTAAGATGCTGAGGGTTGCTTTAGCTGCAAGCACAGCAAAGAGAAACTAAGAGTCCCCATCACTCCTTGCTGGGCCCAAATTGTAATTGGCTTTTAACCTATGACAAGCTAAAGGAATCTCCATTTTGTTTGTTTATTTGGGGTTGGGTGGCAGCCCAGCATACTTCTTGGGCAGACATTCTTGTGCTTTTTGTGGTTCCTTCCCAACGACAGTGGCTTTAATATTCTCCAGTCTCTTCTCCAACTCAGAACAGTATATTCTAAATGTGGACCTAGATTCTCAGAGGCTGTGGGCACTTAACCCTATTCCTAACAGGTACGTGATGACTAAAATTCCTGAGCCACAAAAAAAGCATTGGGTTGTTTTTTTTTGTCATTTATTCAGAGGCTGTTCCTTTGGTCAGCCTCCAGTTTCCTGTTCAGATCCCTCCTGATACCAGACTTTCAAAACAACAAAAATAAAATCAATGGAGCCTTAGACAGTCTAAACTCAGCAGCCTCCATCTCTGCATGGCCAAAATGCAAGAAGTGGAAGGTCAAAATTTTCTTTATTTCAAAATCTAGAATTTCTTCACTTATGCTTAACTGAAGGTGTCTCAACATGCTGGCTGAGAAAACTACATTCAGTAGTATTTGCTGTAAGGAGGCAAATTGAGAGGTACTCAAATGCTTCTCACCCCTTGAAATAACTTTTTTTGTTCATAATAGTAGAACAGACTCTGGCAAAACTTTGTCAGCATTTCTTCCCTGGAAACTACGTGTTCTATTGCTCTGCAGGTTCTGTACACTTACCTTGAGCTCTGAGCAAAGATTGGTTGAGCTAGTAGCTCTGCTTTTCAGTTTTCCTTTTCTGGTTTTATAAAATGGTAGTTGTCTTTAAGTTCCCATCTTTCTGCCCTGTTCAGATTAAAGTGTACTCTTGGGTTTCTCGCCTTTTGATGAAGAAAAAGAGCTTGATGTTATAAATGATGGTAAGGACCTGGAGGGTCTTTGCAAAGGTAAGGAAGTCAGGTCTCGGACTCCTTGCTTGTCCTTTATTCTGAACTTAAGAAATCTGAAAGTCTACTTACTTTTGCCATTACTAGCCAGATTCAAGTTTGCATTAAGGAAGTATGTGTAGTGGAAGATTTTCCGTGTCTTGCAGGCATTTGGGATATTTCCCACACTGCACAGCATTGGCCTGAGATCCAACCAATTTCAGTAAGGGGCAATGTTATTCAGTGAGTTTGCACTGATTTCAGTGTGGGCAGGCCAATGGTGGACTCTTGAAAAGGCTCACTTTTAGAGTTCTCATAATATTAATTTTTTTGTAGAGAGAATTCTGTACGTATTCCACACATGTTTTCCATGATCATTTGTGAATGTTGGAACAACCATTCAGCATAGCTTTTGGTGTTAGTATCCTTAGTTCAGTAATCTCTGCTGGCTGGTTCCACTGATTAAATTCTTCTGTGGTTTGAGTAGTTGGACACTGTTAGGCAAAACCTAGTTTCTCGGTAGTTGGAGTCCCCTAAGCAGAAAAAGGGAGTTTTGGTTATACTAATATGTGAGAGTTCCGTAAGAGCTTCTGACAATCTGAAGTCCAAGTTGGGATCAGTGGCAATGCATAAGGGGCGCATAGGGGTGCATGTGCATTCCTTGAGAGCACTGATGCACCTCCTGACAGGTAGCACTCCCTGCTTAGGCAACGGGCGGGGGGGGCAGGTGGGAACACTGGTTCCAAGTGCGGGACAAGGAGTGGGGGGGTGCAAGGTGAAGTGCCGTTGATGCTTCCGGGAGCGCCACTTATGCTTCCCGGTTGGCACAATTGGCCATGGGGGACAACCCCGCCCCCCCCCCCCCCCCCCCCATCCGCAAGATTGGCCGCTGGTGGGGGCGGGGGGCACATGCCCCCCCAACTCAGGTGGCACCAATTGCCCATGGTTGGGATTCAGACTGGTTTTTATCCTTTTCCTTAACCAGGCCGCTGTCTGTGGCTGAATCTAAGTAGTAAAAGGCATGCTTGTCTCTAGTGGACAACTTTTTGGAGTTAAATCGCAAACAGTCTGCTTTCTGGAGAACTGGACACCTTGAAGGAAGAATGGGGGAGCGAGACAGAATCTAACATATGCTTCAAATGGCCACTGAAATTACTACAGTATAATCTTGACATTTTTTTTTTTAAGCTTCCCCCTCCGCTC